TCTCAACCTTGACTTACTCTTTCAATAATTTAAATGGTCTCAAAAATGAAAGTTAGGGTATTTCAAAAAATGCAAAATAAAAAACTACATTTTAAAATGAATCACTAAAACCATATTTCACATATTTTAGAGTGAAGAAAGCCATTTTATCCCTTAAATTTATCAAAGGGTCAACAACTCAACATTGCTAATGTAGTTTTGGTGATTGCTCAAGCAATAATTGTAGTCCGGCCTCTTTTTAAGAAAAAAGAGCATCACAGTGAATAGTGCTAGAAAAAATCATTAAAAAAAATTGTCCCACCAAATTTTCAACCCCACTTCCCGGCGTAAGAGAAGCAATTAAGCCAAGAGAATGGTCAAATGAGGAAAAGACACCGAAAAAGTTCTATATCAGTGCTATGAACAGAAGGTTGGCAGAGAAAGGTTGTGATCACACTGGTCATAGTGGTGCTGCCACTTGAGTAAATAAGGCACGCAATACAAAACCAAGTGGTTACCAACCACATTAATATGTCCAAATACAAGTTACAACTACGTCCCTTTCTCCATTCTTCCAATTTTTTTTTCCCTTTTAGTTGAGTTCATGTTGCAACCTGTTGTATGAATTTGGTATGGTTGAAAAGTAGGAAGCTAGGATCCTGAACAGCTGAAGACATCGTGTGTCAATAGTACAAGACTTGTACTTACTGGTTAGTTATACTAAAAAGTAACAAATTTATTACTACTATTATTATAATTGTTTATCTTGTTCTTGGTTTTGGGAATACTCTCAGCTTTGTTAGTAACATGCAGATATTTGTTTCAAGCCTTATTGTGCTCTCACACCTTATGGATCTCTTTGATTCTATTTTAAATGGTTTCATTTGAGAATTGAGACTGAAATATTAGTAACATTTCCTCAAGATTGAATGATATTAAGAGGTTACAGCTAAGATAGTTAATATCATATTGCCACCTAAATAATACCATCTCAACAGTGAATTTTGGTAACATTATCCGAGCATGCAACACCCTTTTCAAATTCCTCAAACAAAGAATTCAAATGATGTTTTGAAGTTGTAAGAATGTGAACGAATACATTTTCTATATTGACTTGTATTATACACTAAGTTGGATCATTAATGAAAATTCTAGGGAATGCAGCCATGCCAAACCATATACACTGTATGCACCAGATTCAAAGCAAAAGACTTAAAAGTCCGATTATCAGTTCCCAAAACTGTAACCTATCTCAGAGTCTGATTTCTCTGTATTTTTGCATGAACGAAGAAGAAGCTCATTGCTGAAGAGGAATTGAAAAGAATGCGGTGTTCAAGGTTTTTCTTGGCTTCTTTTCTTCTTGCTGTGGTCTTCAGTGTGACTAATGGACAGCCTCTGGTCCCTGCATTGTTCATATTTGGAGACTCAGTTGTTGATGTGGGAAATAATAACTACCAATTGACTGTTGTTAAAGCAAACTTCCCTCCTTATGGAAGAGACTTTGAGAACCACAATCCAACAGGAAGGTTCTGCAATGGAAAGCTTGCCACAGACTTCACTGGTACCTTCTCTTTTTCCTCAAAATTCTCATTTAGCAAAATATCTTCTCACTAATTCCCTGTTACCAACATCATGTTTTTCAACTTGGATTTGATCTTTGTTTCATTAACTGCAGCTGAAACCATTGGATTTACCACTTATCCACCAGCTTACCTCAACTTAAAGACCAAAGGGAAAAACCTCTTGAATGGTGCCAACTTTGCCTCAGCTGCTTCTGGTTACTATGATTCCACATCAAAACTATATGTAACTACATTTAAATTTCTTAAACTCAAAAACCCATTGTTCTTTTCTTTATTTAGGGTCGTCCGGATAAATTACTCCAAAAACACTTACAGAAAAACAAAAAAAAAACAGAAAGAAAAACTGAAAAAAACTTTTTCATAAGCTAAAATTAGCTTATTTTAGCTTATGCATGAGCTAATTTAAAGCTATTAACTTTTCCAAAAACTTCTTTTAATTTATGTATAGGCTAATTTTAATTTATGGAAAAACTTATTTCAATTTTTCTTCCTACTTTTACTCCTATGAGTATTTCGGAGAAATTTATCTAAAGAGACTCTTAACATCGTGCCATTGGTAAGTGCTAATGTGTGTTTTCCCGGGTGTAGAATGCAATTCCTTTGGGCCGGCAGCTTGAATACTACAAGGAGTGTCAGAACAGATTGGTGGAAGCAGCAGGGCAATCAAGGGCTTCATCAATTATATCTGATGCTATATATCTTATTAGTGCTGGTAGCAGTGATTTTGTTCAGAACTATTACATAAATCCGCTGCTTAACCTGGTGTATTCAACTGAACAATTCACAGACATGCTCATGACAAGCTATTCCAACTTCATCCAGGCATGCCTTTCTCAACCTTGACTTCTTGCCCTATATCATTGATTAAAAATTACCACAGAAAAAAAGAGTTATTTGCCTTTGCCAAAGAACTTTGCTGATTTTGATATGCATTTCTAAATTCTAATAACCATACCTTTGATAGGGTTTATATGCACTGGGAGCAAGGAGGATTGGTGTGACATCATTACCTCCAATAGGTTGCTTGCCTGCATCCATCACCCTCTTTGGTGCTCGTAAGAACGAATGTCTGACTGGTTTAAACAGTGATGCAATTAACTTCAATGAAAAGCTCAACACCACATCTCAGAACTTGCAAAATATGCTTCCAGGCCTCAATTTGGTGGTCCTTGATATCTACCAGCCTCTCTATGACTTGGTCACAATGCCTTTTGAAAATGGTACAAAATCTAATTCTATAAAATTAGTAGAAATGTTAAAGAACACATTTTCTAATACACTTTTTTGAACAGACATTTTCTAATAAGTTGAAATTTGTTTGATTGGAGATCCTATATAGAAGAGCGATATGTCCAAAACAAAGTATCTAAATGTGGGACAAAACTCACTTTACAAGTCAGTTTTGTAAGGTAGAGTTGAATTCAGATTCGCTTTCTTAGGATGGTACCAGAGGGGTGTGTGGAATTGGAGATTGCACATGGGTCTCATACCCTGTTTAAAGTTTTTTAAATAGTGTATTGCTAGCACTTCAAAATTTAGATATAGTTCTTAGATGAATAAAAGTTTGCATCAAAGATCCAACGATCAATGTAAGATACTGAATTGAAACTTCAAAATTCTGATTGAAAAATAATACAAAAAGTACTTAGGAACGACATTCATGTTTTGTGCAATCTAATTATGCTTTGACTAGTGAACTAATCATCTAATGGATTATGAAACAGGATTGTTAATTTGTTTCCAATGTGTGGCCTTCATTGTGTTATCACAGGATTTTTTGAAGCAAGGAAGGCTTGTTGTGGAACAGGGTTGATAGAGACATCTATATTGTGCAATAAGAAGTCCATAGGAACATGTGCCAATGCATCTGGGTATGTATTTTGGGATGGTTTTCATCCCACAGAGGCTGCAAACAAGTTTTTGGCGGATCAGTTGATTGCTGCTGGCATCTCTCTTATATCCTAATCAAACACTTTTAAGGGTCACACTTTGGATTTCCTACATTTGTGGTTGCTGCTGTAGTATGAAGATGGCTTATGCAAAAGACTAAAGGAGATTCTATATGTTAAATTGCATATATCAATAGGTGCATTTATGTTCCTTGTTATTGAACTGAGACTAATGTAATGTCGTCTAAGCTTGACGCGTAACCTGTATTTTATGTGCTCAACAGCTTAAACTATTCATGTGCTGGTGCTTGGTACACAACATAATAAAACACCCTGTTTAGAAATTTGTTTTTTCGTGACATGCAGGATAATAAGAAACTTTCAGGAGTGTGTAGTTTACCAGATAAGTCCTCCCGGGGCTGAGATCTTGTCGGTCCTCAACCCTAGAGGGATACTAAAATGATCTTAGTGTTGCTCATTTTGACCGAACAGTGTTCCCACAGGCCGTTTGAGCTCAAGAATGCAGATGCTACTTATCATTGATGGAAAAAATCTTCCGCAAGCAGATTGGGAGAAACTTTGAAGTGTACATGAATGACATGGTAGTCAAGTTTAATAGTGTGGTTGAGCACATGGACGATCTTGTCGAGGTGTTATCTGAGTTAAGAAAACACAATATGCACTTAAGTATTGAGAAGTGTGTGTTCGACGTAGGTGGAGGAAAGTTTCTAGAATTCATGTTAACTGCAAGGGGAATTGCAGCTAGCCCTAACAAGTGTTGAGCACTTACTAAAATGAAGAGCTTGGCCAATCTGAGAAAAGTTCAATGACTTACTGGCAGGCTAACCTCCCTCTCTTGTTTCCTGCCATGCTTGACTGAGAAGGTAAAGGCTATATTTACATTGTTGAAAAAGAAGAAAGCCTTCGAGTGGACACCAGAGTGCAAGACTACTTTCCAAGGATTGAAGGAACTCTTGTTGGCACCCCTTATCTTAGCGAAGCTCATCCAAGATCTACCACTTTTGCTCTACTTGTCTGCTTCAGATGAATCCTTCAGTACTATTATTTCCCAAGAGAAAGAAGGAGGGCAGGTGTCCATCTATTATATCAATCAAGTACTACAGGGTTTCGAGCAAGGATACTAGAAGGTGAAAATTTTAGCTTTAGTTTTGGTAACGACAATAAAAGTGTTGAGGCCACATTTTGTAAGTCACCAAGTAGAGTTCAAAACCGATTATCCTATTGCTAAGATCCTTAGAAAACTAGAGCTTGTTGGACGCATGATTGTTTGGTCGATAGAGTTGTTAGAATTCGGCTTGGCTTACCAACCAAGAGGCCTTACATAAGCAGAGTGTTTTGTCAACTTCATCAATGAGATGACTACTAAACCTCTGAGAGGGCAGGTGTGGACATTGTTTGTGGATGGATCGTTTAATAAGAGGGGCAGTGGAGCCGAAATTCTCTTGGAAGGACTAGGAGGCTTGGCCATTGAACAATCTTTTCTGTTCGGATTCAAGGATTCGAACACCCTAGCAAAGTTTGAAGCCCTTATTGTGGGAATAAGATTGGCTTTGGAGATGAGGCTAAATACTTGTTATGCAAGAGTGACTTCCTTTATCACGTGGTTGATGAGCTAAAGGGAGACTTCTCGAGATTCCGAATTAAGCATATACCTCGGGAGGAAAATACTAGGGTTGATGTCTTATCTATGTTAATAAGTACTCAACACCCTGACCAATATAAGACCATCACCCAACAAACCCTAAAGGAGCCTAGTATATCTAGTAATGAATACATGCAGATTGAGGGGGAGGAGAGCTAGATGATCTCATCCTAAATTATTTGAAGCATAACCTTGTGCTGGAAAACCCTTCGACAGTTAAGAAACTCAACCTACAAGCAGTTAAGTTCTACGCCCTTGGAGATGAGCTTTTCAAGAATGGGATTCTCGGCTCCCTTACTCAAATTTATCACCAAGGCCTAAGCCAAGTATATCTTTGAGGAGTTGAACCACATGCACACTAGGGAGAGGAGCACGGTAGCTCAAATACTTACGATTGGATACTACTAGGCAACCATCCAACACGATTAAGCTAATTTTGTGAAGAAGTGTATTCCATGTTAGCAATACGACAACCTAATTCACGCTCCTCCCAAAATCTTAATAGTATAGTATCTCCATAGCTATTTGCCATGTGGGGTATTGACATCTAGGGACCATTTTCTCCCACCAAAGGTTGGCGCAAGTTCTTGTTGGTAACAATTGACTATTTCACCAAGTAGATAGAGGTAGAACCACTAGCTTAAATCGCAACAAAGAATGTGTAGCGCTTCATTTGAAAGAATCTTATTTACTGTTATGGAGTACCCTATATCATTGTGACCGATAATGGCAAGCAATTCACGAATAAACAACTTAATAAGTTCTTTGCAAGGCTCCAGATCCAGCATCGTGTTTCTTCTATGGAACATCATCAGACAAATGGTCAAGACAAGACCGCTAACAAGGTTATCTTAAGTGAATTGAAGAAGAGGTTGGGCAGATCTAAGGGTAAATGGGTTGAGGAGTTGTCGGAGGTACTCTGGACTTATCAGTGTACTCCACATTCCACTATTCAAAAAACACCTTTTCGATTAGCCTATGGTATTGATGCAATATTGTCCGTAGAGATCGGAGAAGCTTCTCCCAAAAGAATTTTGTACCAAGATGATGATGGCTTTTCCCATCAAATTGAACTTGACCTAGTTGAAATCATCTGTGACTGGGCTCAAATCTAACAAGAAGCAAGTCTTAGAAGGGAAAACCCACGACATGTTTCTTGGCTAGTTAGAAGAGACTTCTAAGAAGGCAATTTGATATGGAGAATTCAAGATGAAGCTAAGAGGGATTTAGTTGAAGGAAAGTTGTCGACAAACTAGAATAGACCTTTTAGAGTGACTCAAAGTCTAAAATTAGAGCAATACAAACTTGAATACTTATCCGGTCAAGAGATTTCGAGGACTTGGAATTTGTCACATCCCAAATTTTATTATAGTTAATCTTTTATTAGAGTCTTAAGGTTGTAATGAGGTGTTGTACTCTTTTGTACCGTCGGTCTTTTATCCTATGAAAAGAAAGAGTTTTAACCGGAAAGAGTTTTAATGAGGTACACCAATATCATTAATAAACGTTTTACATCGACATTTTGTACAAGTTCATTTTAAAGTTATCGGAAGGGCAGAAGAGAAACCTTTGTTGAGTACGAGTTCTCGCCCAAGTACCTAAACTCAAGTATAAAACCTTGGTACTAAACCCAAGTATAAAACCTTGGTATTGCAAACTTTGGTTGAGTACAAGCTCTCGACTAAGAACCTAAACCCAAGTATAAAATCTTGGTACTAAACCCAAGTATAAAACCTTAGTATTGTAAACTCTGGCCAAGTATGAGTTTTCGACCAAGTAACCTAAAATCCAAGAATAAAACCTTTGTACTACAAACCTTGGCTTAGTACGAGCTCTTGGCCAAATACCTAAACCCAAGTATAAACTTCCATTTTGCCTAAGAAAAGGAGATTCTAAACTATTATTGAAACTCATAAAAGTTGGGAAAGAAGGCATACCTAATATGTACTTGGCTTTCGAGTTTTACGTAGTCAAGAAGGCTAGAGCTCCAAGTTTTTGGAAGCCGGAAGTTTGCTAGTGAATCTCTTTAAGGGTTAAGGGCCCTATTTATATGAGTGGAGCGATTAGGGTGATGAAGCATCACATTTATATGAACCGTTAGATCTTTTTATCATCAACGGTGAAAGACAACGCAACTCTTAGTATTCTTGAGAATGTTTCACAACAAAAACTGCAAAATTTCTTAGGCAGGAAAGCAAACTTTTTGCCAAATTAGCCATACATTGAACTCTTCTCTTAGGAGTCGAAGACTTAGGGGACTTATATACCGGGTAAGTCCTAGGACTGAGATCTTGTCGGTCCTTGGTCTAAAGAGACATTAACATGACTATAATATTGCTTGTTTTAACCAAATAGTATTCCCAAAGGTCGAGGAGTTCTTGGCTTGACTAAACATTTTCCTCCATCAAACCTAACAAAAAGTAATGTTTGACTGTTACATGATAATAAAAAGTTTTGAATACACTTAAATGATCATATTCTTAATGGTAACATTCTCTTACCCATATATACATGCATCTTATCCTTAGAAGGTACGTAATTTTTACACACAACACTTGAACATTCTAATCACTCGTTGACTTAGGCTTCAAAGTCTCTTTTGCAAGTATAATCACTATTTGCAAATCAAAGACCAAAGATCAAAGGCTAAAGAGTTTCGACTAATGATTTTTCAATCAACATTTCTCAACAAGTACGTATTTTTTTTTTCTTTTTATTTATGAACATGGTTGACTCGGACGTCATAAGACATACCTTATAATCCCTGACCAAAAGCCTTAGAATGTGCAGTAAGAAATTGGAGAATAGTTTACTATTTTAATTTTTAAATTTTTTTTTGCTAGTTATGTACTAGTCATTACTATAATTGTCTTAGAACTCTTTCACAAAACTTAAATTTAGATTCCTTTATCCGAAAATGCGATTTATTACTTTATCTTAGTTTAATTTTATATATTATCAATTTAAATTATTTTTACATATTAAGTAAAAAAATTATGACACCGTTAAATTATGTTAAAAATTAGAACCATGAATAGAATAATGTAACTTTAAAATCATATTATATTCGATGGAAAATCCAATACTCAAGTCTTGCTATTAAAGAGTATTTATCATTGAATATATATATATATATATATATATAGAGAGAGAGAAAAAGAGAGTTAATCACCTATACACTGTCAGTATAAATTTTTTTTTTTTTTAGTCACTGCTATCGGCGATGGATACTACAGGAACAAATCTAAAAAGAAAATATAAAGTTTTTTTACACGGACAACTAATTATATCTTTTAATTGTGCCATGTTATTGTTAAAAGTAAATGTGTTTATAGTGACATGACATAATTAAAAGATATAATTGGTTGCCAGTGTAAAAAAGTTTTACGATGACATAATTATATATATATATATATATAATTTTATTAAATTGTTTTTTTTCTAAGTAGCCTTTTTTCGCGGTCACCTTAAAATTCTTTTGAACCATAGCGTTAAATCGGACCAATGATGGTACCTCTGAAAATGAAACAGGTATGGTGTTAGAGAAGAAAAGTGAAGGTGGTGATGGATTATAGCTTGGCAGCGTTGAAGCTCTTATGCTCGCAGCTGAAGCATGTTCGAGAAGTGTCCTCTCAGAACCGCTTCACCCTCGGCGCCATCCTCTTCCAGCGCGCTTGGTTACAGGTTTCAACTTCCCTCTCCTCTCCGCCCCCATTCCCTAAACGACGCCGTTTTCACCCTCTTTCATTTTCTCAGGGCCTTCTCGTCTCCGCCTCCGCCGACGGTGCTCCTCTGCTTCTCGACGACGGAACCGGCCTCATCGAGCTCTCCCTCACCGGCGAGTTTCGCCACCATCACTGGAAACCCGGTAAATTTCGCCCCCCCCAAAATCGGGGTTTCTTCTGTTTTCGTTCAATTGAATGTGGGGTTTTATCAAAATTTATAATTGATGTGTGTGTGTGTGTGTTTGTGTCTTCGACTGAATCGCTTCAGGGATGTATGTGATGGTGGTTGGAGGGTACGTCGCACGTGCGGGAGAACTTCCCATGATCAAGGTAATGCACACGTGTTTGTTATTTCGGTTTGAGGTGTTTTCAAAATTAATGAATTAAGCTTGAAATTGCTACCATTCATTGCCATTCACACTTGCATACTTAATGGAGTTTGTTTTAGTGATGTTTAAGCAAATATAGTAGTATAGGGGATGATCGGATAAATTTTTTCATAAGTACTTTCAACTCAAGGAAATAAAAAAGAAAAATGGAATAAGATTTTTTATAAACTAAAATTAATTCATGCAAAAATTAATTTGGAAAATTTTTTCATATTAACTTCTCTGAAATATGTTTTTTGACCTGTGTATTAGATAATTTTAACTTTTAGTTTATAAGTTAATTTTAATTTATAAAAAAGTTAATTTCATTTCTTTCTTCATATTTTTCTTTAAAGTGCTTATAGAGAAATTTATCCAAATAGACATGTAGATTATGAGGCAAAATATTTTAATTTGAGCTGAACATTGTAACAGGTTCACAAGATTGTTGATCTTTCATCATCACCTGACCGGGACGCTATGTGGTATCTTGAAGTTGTGGAGGCATACAAGCTGTTCTATCAACCTCTTGTTGAAGAATTTACCTGATAGGAGTACATGATTAAACAGAGAATGTGTATTGAGGTTGACTTCTGACATCTGTAATTTCCCTTCTTTTGGCAAGTTAGAAATAGAGAATTTTCTAAGATTGGGTTGGTATTCACATCTATACATTTCTTTATCCAATGAGAAATTCACCAGCAAAGGGCATTGTAAAATCACTTCTGCATTGATCGAAGTCGGTATTATTTTGGATTTTAATTTTAATTTTATATTTAGGGATTTTATTTTTAATAATATAGGGTAATTAGTTTGCATTATCTTTTACATTTGGTTTGGATTTGGTTATCTTTATCTTACGTTTAGGGATTTTATCTTTATTTTGTTGATTTTTTTATTGATCCTCAAAGCAGACCTATGCAATTCTGGCCATTGGGTAATAATATTATCCTTTTAGCTAGTATCTAAACTGAGTAAAAAGAGGTACTAGTGTACTACACACCTAGAGCAGTACAGTAGGGTTTTCTTTCTTCCCTCTTCACTCTCCATCAGATTGTTTATGAAATATACATATTTGTAATACCAATCCATTTGTTCTCGATGCTTCTTGTATAAATTGCTTCATCACCTATGTTATGAATTTCTCGAGTTATATTATGGGTTTGACTTTTCTCAAGTGAAGGGATGCATTTTGAAAGACCAAGTATAATTATAACCATTGATTATAGAATCAATGATTGAGTTGTGATTAAATACCCGCACATGTAAAATAAATTTTGAAATTTGATTTTCTAATCAATTTTGACTATATTTTATCATCTAAAATGCACCCTTCTCCCTTTAGAATACTTCCATTGAATATAATCAGTAAGAAGTGATAACTAACAAAGCTTTTATGAGAACATCGCATACACAATAAGCCTGTAATTTTCCCCATGTTTTGCGAGTTAAAACAAACCTGGAACATCTATTCAAGAGTGTATGTAATTCCTATATACACTTCAACTCTAACCTAAATTGTACATAGTTTTAAATATCAATTATCGGAAAAAAATATTTTACTAAAGACGGTCATTCAAATTTTTCAGCGAAAATTAGTTGTTGATAAAACTAATAATTATTGGTATCAGTAACATGGTAATCTAAGGATAATCAATACTAGCTTCAATAGTTGAGGTTTGTTTAGTTTCTCATAAGTATTATTCTTAGAAGACAATCATATTTGATGTAGGGTGAAACACTAATCCTGGACATCTCTCCACTAGGGTGGTTGAGAACAAATACTCTAGTTAATAATTTGATTAATAATATTCAATTTTCAGATGAATGAAATATTATTTATATTAATCACCTCTAATTGTTTGGCATATTTCTTTCCATGTCAGGAAAAGATCCATCATTCTCTGTTGGACTGGGACCTACTTAGCAACCATGGTAGTTAACACAAATAGACACTGCTTAGTGAGGCTAAGGTTGTTGTTTAAGAAAAAAATCTTTAAATTTAAATGATTTGAAAATAAAAAAGGTCTAACCATCTTTAAATTAAATTAAAGTAAAAACTTTATTTGCCCCCTTATGATACCAACAATATGCCACCAACTTCAATTCACATCATCTCCATACATTTTCTATTAGTATTATATATCAATAGTCATGACTAATAGAATTCTTAAGGTTAAATAGTTAGTTAAAAAAGGGAAAAGGGTTGATGGCTGGTGGTGGCTATGGTCAACCTTTTAAGAGTTTAGTCTAGATAAATGAAAATTTTTTAAACTGATAATTTTATACATGATTTTTTAAAGAGAATACCAAAAAAGAGAGTCAATTTTAAATCTTAGCCTTGACTCTTGATCCTAAAATAAAATTTCATAGAATTCCAAAATTATTCCTCAGATAAAATTACTTAAAGATCGAGTTCCTCTTGTAGTACTGGTCTTGTTCACGGCGGTATTACTATTTATTCATTCCACGAGCAGCGCACTAACAATTCGCTATGCAAAATATCGTTTATAATACACGGGCTTTCTACACAATCGACTTGCTCTCCATGGTTCTTCTAAATAGTACGAATATCTGTTATGTGCTAGCTAGCATATTGAATGCTGTGTTTTGAGTTATAATTTCAGATAGCAAGTTAAATTCGACAACAAAGTTTGATGAGAGTTATTTCTATAACTAAACATTTGTAAATGCTAACCCACTTTACTTTCTAACAATCTTCTAAATGAATTATTATTATTATTTGAAATGATTTTATAATTTTGAACTATTAGTAGAAAGTGTTGTCAGCACGATTTCACATTTGAGACTAGAATAGTGACTTCACGACATAATCTTGCTGGGTTTCTCCCCCTACTATCTCCATCCTCCTTTATGAATTGTGCTAACCAATTTGTTAATATTGTTTTCGCAATCAACCACTAAACTCACTTTTTTGCAACTTTTGAGACACGTAGGAATTCTAACACAGGAAAATATTCAATCTCTCTTTATATACAATGAACCGTAACCAAAGTTAAAATGTCCAATAAACTCAACAAGCAACAAAGTCTGATGCAGACAAATCAGGGATCAACTCATTCAAAATGGGAACTTCTCCCTACATTAGAGTTTTGTCATTCAGAATTTCCAATCACTCTATAACGAATTGTATTTCTGAAAGACAAAACTCTAATCTTGGGAGAAGTTCCAATCACTCCAAAAGCATCATAAAGTTTACATAACTCAGCGAACTTGATAAATTGAATTTGAGGCTACCCCTGTAATACCAGTAAAGGTGAAAGAAGTGAGGTTTCAACAATACACCAGAAATCCAACTGTCTTCGCCCAGGAAGAGCTTCCCAAGACATAAGCTCAACGCCTGACCTGTATTGCATATAATAATGTCCCATGTAACAATTCTATCAAGCTCGAAGGACCAGCAAAACTTAACCATGAAAACAAAACAGGTTGCATATACCACCCAGACAAGGCAATTTGTATCTATTTGTTTGACTTTAGAGGTTGGGGGTCTTTGAGAGGCTTTGGAGTTCCTTTAATGGCTATATTCATCAAATCAATTTCCACTGCCTCCTTCTCTGCCTTTTCCCTCTTCCTCCTTTCAGACAATTCCTCATTGATGGCATCCGGTTGCACAGTAGTTATGGAGGGCACACGAGTCTGAGGACCTGCACTGATCCATCGATGACTAAGGCACTGAGCAGCTGTTGGTCTCTTTTCTGGGTCAAAATCAAGTAATGGAACAAGGAAGTCAACCAGGTCATTTGTGTCTTGCTCACTGAAATTATACTTCTCCATCAGCACCTTATCCATTGGCCAGAATCGCAACTTGCTGATGTGCCTCAAGTCCCCTTGGCTATTGAAAAATTCTCGGGAATAGCGGCCACCTAGTGCAATCTGAAGGAAGTATTTATTCATTTGCAGTTGAATACAAATGAAAATATCAGCATTCACCAATTTTCAGAATGAAATTAGTAAAATACCCTAATTTTCAGGTTTTTTAAGCAGAATAACTCATTGAAAAACAAACGGATGCACTGCAAGAGAATCTGGAAAATGGTCTCAAATGGAGTTTAAATTTGAATATTGTTTCTTGAATATAAACATGCAAAATTGACAATACCAACAAACTTCAAAATTTATTGCAAAGCAGATAACATTCCTACCTTGCTAGGCATCACCCCAAGAAGCTCCATCATCAATGCCAGGTGATCCTGTAAAACAAATGTTTAAATATCATCAAAACAATCTTTTGATTTAAGTTCAAATTCAGGTAGCCACATCATTATTTTCAAATTTTGTAACATTTGTTTCCAAGAGAATGGGAAGCTTTAAGATATATCTATGTTTAACATACATTGAGCCAAAAGTATTTGATTTACCACAAATAATTGTCAACATTTTTAGTAGGTATAAAGCAAGGAAAAAAAATACTTTTAATAAGGAACAGCAGGGGCTTATAGCCCCAGTGATTCAATGTATCATTATATCGCATTATTTGTCAAAATTTTCACTAATTATCAAAGAAGAATAATGAAGCCTCGTTTCCAAGATCACTGGCAGTGTAACAACAAAATATATTGAGAATGTTGTTACAACTTCTTTGAACATTATTAAGTCATGGAATAGCCAATTGATGATTCCAAAATGCCTATGGACACAAGCAACTTTCTTTGAAGAAAAGTCATGATCTAGTAGGCAGTAGCATGACTTTACAGACTGGAAGCTAAGGCCTCTGTTTCATTCTTCAGAAAGCAAAGATGAGTAGAGTTTAATATCCTTAATAGGAGTGTAGGACAAAATTCACTCTTTAATTAAAATTATTCTGCTTACAGAAGTTAGCAATCTTCCCAATGATTTTTCTTATTTTTCAAATCCAAGTCGAACTCCAAATAATGCTGATATAAATGAAAAAGAATTAAGACATAAGCATGATAATATAATTGGTGTAAACAGTAAAAGAGAAATAACATGTTTAGGTGGAAAAATTCTATTCAACTATCACAGGCATGTCCCTTTGTATTATTGTTCCAGGCCCCAGGGCACATAATATATTTCATATTGTCAAATTAGTAATTACAATTCTATAGTTTAGGCAAGGCTTTCAGCAACATAATTTTCGAATTTCTATCCAGATATAAGTATATTTTACTCGGCCTTTTCGTGGTGTTTAATTGTTTCCAAAAGATTGCATTTGCCTTTTTTTTCTTTTCAAAAAACAAATATCTAAAGTCAGCAGAAGTATGCTTTCCTGCATTCACCAGCATATGTTAAGGACAAAAGAAATATAACTCTGTTCAGAAAACAAATTTTCAAAGTCCAAAAAATGGGGGAAAAAATATTGCAAGCATCAAATGATGATAGCACAAATAAAGTGACCCTGCATTTTTTTAGTACAAAACAGGTGCATTTACCTCATCTCTATCATAGTTGTCACCACTGTGAGGATCAAAAAGAACATCACCAGTGACAAGCTCAAAGCAAATGCAAGCAAAGGACCATAAATCTGCGGGGGTAGAGTATTTAGATCCAAGAAGAACCTCAGGACACCTGTATTGCCTTGTCTGTATATCATTTGTGAATTGTTTATAAGTCCAACAAGCACTACCAAAATCAACCAGCTTGCACTTACGATCAACAGCTCCCAGCAACTTCTTTCTCATGGAACGGCTACCTCTCCTATGACCTTGACTTCCTTGTGAATCATCTTTTTCAAAATTCTCTGTTGATTCATCTTTAATCAGAGAACCATTAGGTTTATCTTCAAAAAATTCCACAATTGATTTCACAGTATTGCCACAATCTTCTTGCCCAGGTCCTTTATAATCCACAGCTTCCTCTGAACTTCCCATCTCAACACAGCCTTGAGCTACCTTGGCATTTCTCTGCATTTTCTTTTTCTGGTTCTTTGTCGGATCTCCATTCAAAATTTTATTGTCTTGGTTAGTCTCATTATTAGACACAGCCATATCCTCAGTGTTTGGAAGGATGATTGGAGCACCTGATTTCCTAGGATCTTTAGATGGATCTATCAGTGACAGAAGCAACACATTCTCCGGCTTCAAATCAGTGTGTATGATAGAAAGCTCACGATGCAAGTAATCCAAGCCCACCAAAATATGAAAACAGATTTCTTTAACCATGGAGAGAGGAAGGCCGTGAAAGTCACTAAATTTGATAAGGGTGAGAAGATTGTCACCCAGGAATTCAAAAACCATACACACATGCTGGCCATTAGGCCCTGAATGCTTAAAATGATCCAAAAGCTTCACAACACATTTCTTATCATTCAAGTCCCCCTCAGCTATTTGTTTGAGAATCTTGATTTCATCCATTGCAGCTTCAGTGTAGTGCTGCGCACTCTTCTGAATTTTAAGGGCTACATAACGCTACAAACAAAAAACTTTCCCACATTAAGAGAGCTAAAACTTCAAGTTTCAAAATTTAAAAACAGCAAGAAGTGAATTACGATGGGTGTTTGGTTTGTTAATTTGTGTCACATTTTCATTTTCACTTGACACATTTTTGCTAATAAAAGTTGGAAGGAAAAATGAGATAAGCTTCTCTATAAACTAAAATTAGCTTGCTTATGCATAAACAAATTTATAGAAGCTCTCTCTTATTAGCTTCTCTAAAATATTATTTCTAACTTATATATAAACTAGTTTTAACTTACGCAAAAACTTATTTAGATTTTTCTTTCTATATTTTTCTTCTTCTTCTAAAAGTGCTTCAATAAAAGTTTATCCAAACACCTAACAATGTAAAGACATCCAATCACAACTTGTCATACATAGTAAGTTTGTCGAATTTTACACTAATTACCTAAAAGGATAAACCTACCGTGATATCTAATTGCCTGTTACTTGTTAGTGTAAAACATTTTACCCAACGGTGCATAGAAATTAAGCTCTAAAACACAAAAGTGTCGCATAATTTTCCTAAGGTAAAGGTTTTGTGAAGTCTCTTCTCACCATTCCCTCCGCAACAAAAAATGGAAACAAAGTAAATTTCACTTTAACAGGGAAGCAGCTAAACTCAACGGAGTGACCAAAGTAGAAAAAACTCTAACGACGCATAATGTAGGGAATTATAAAGAGCGAGAAGAAGGGGCGAGAAATGGAGGCACCGAATTGAGAGTGTCGGAAGCGAGCCAGACGGTGGAGAAATGGCCCCAACCGAGTTTGGAGTGCACGACGTAGCGGCCATTGTTGAATGTGTCTCCGATTTCAACTGTATGGTACCCTCCGCGCCTATAATCCGCCATGCATTCCTCTTCTGAACTGTATTCATCACTTATCTTCTCCATCGGAGTTAGGGTTTTTCAGGTTCACCGCCAAAATAAACCAACGGAGTTTCAGAGTGAGGGAACAGGGACGCTTCTTAAGTGTAACCATTAACTAATTAAAAACTAAAAATGAAAAACAATATATATTTTATTTTTATTTTTATTTTTATTTTTTGTGAGTGAATGGGACATCATCATCATCATAGTGAAATAAAATTCATTGACACTAGACAGGTTTCTCTCACCTGCATTAATTTCCAACTATTAAACTCTTTTACAACATAAGTCAACACTTAATTAACGCATTGGAAAAACGTTTTTATTTTTTAATATTTCAAAATATTATCTCCATTCTTTTACATTGCTCGTTTAAAATACAAAAAAAAAACGTAATAATTTTTATTTTATTTTGTAAAATGATTTTAATTTTTATTTTATTTTTCATTTTTTTTTCATAATGAAGACATATCAGTTGTGATGTTTAAACTTTAAATTAAATAAAAGTTAAATAAAATATAAATGTGTGATTAATAAAAAATAATTTTTATTTTGAAATTTTAAAATAATAAATAAATAAAGATACAAATTTACTAAAAAATGATAAATAAAAAAAACGAGAGGAGCCTACGTATTCTTTAATTCTTTTTATGTCAATTTTCATGACCCATGCATAAGTTATGAAGTTTCTTGATTCAGTTACGAGCGTTAATTTTTATTAGGTCAAACCGTCTTTAAATGATATATATATATATATATATATATATATATATATATATAAATTTTATAATTTTTTAAATGTTAAGTATGCTGTATTATCTTCTAAAAAAAATATGATGTATTCTATTAAGAGTGAAAATTGTAAGTTTATTAAAAGATACATTTATATCATATTTAAGTTTGTTATTACAAAAATATCTTTAAACAACTTGTTATTATGAATGTCAAATTAAGTATCAGAAATATGTTTATATTATAATATGTTAAACTTGATTTATACAAAATTTAATATTTTTATTCTTATTTTAGTGTTAAATTATTATAAAAATAATAAATAGACTTATAGATTAAATATAATTTTTATAGATAAACAAATTAAATTTAGATTATGTATTTGATAATTTCATGATTGACAATTATTGATAAATTAAACTCAGAATATGTATTTTTATCGATAATTTTCATGTGCCAATTTTAGGTGTTTAGTAGGGAAATCTCTCAAGTTTTTTAAGAATCTAACTTTTCAAATAATTATTTTTAATTATATTTCACTAAAGCTTAATTTTTTATGAGAGATTATTTTAACAAATAGATCTCACAAGAATAGAATCCAATATTTTTACAAAGAACTAAATTACTAAATGGGTTAGGATAACCTAACCTATTAGATAAAGTACGAGAAAGATTTTAATCCAACTTTTATACAAGTTATATTTTTTTTTACCAATTTTTATGTAATTTAAAAGAAATAAAAAAATATCAAATGAAAATAACTTTAATATCTTTCAAACCTAATTTTTACCAATTCATTTAGTCCATTAGATTAAATCAAATTAATCCAATTTTTTTTTAGATATTAAAATAAAGAGTATAATTTAGTTTTATCAGGTGAACCAATGATTTGATCAATTTTAACATCTTTATAAAGGAGAGAATTTTTTTTTAAAATTATAACTTTTATTTATATAACTACTTTAGATATATCAAGCATATTTATGACATTCTAATTTTTTTTTTTTAAATATGATTTTCAAAATACATGATTCCAACATGAAAAAAGGATTGCTCACCAAACTAGAGAAACAAAATCTTAGAATCAAATAATAAAATTACATGATTAATTTGTCTTAATTAACATGTAATTTGAAAAATTAATCTAGGAAAATCAATCCAAAAAATCTGTAACATACAGTACATATCAATCATTAAAGAAATTAATTCAACATATTTGTAATTATGAAAATTATCCATGCAACTAAGCAATCACATAGAATCCTAATACGTTGAGATCTTCAATAAATGCATAACCAAGCAATACTCCTTTTGTGTCAAATATCATAGTACAATATATTCTTCCCTTCTCCGCACACTCTACTCTGCAATCTCACTCAGGTAAGTACTATATCTTTCTTCATTTTCTCTTTCCATGTCATTTCAAATTATTCAATTGTTTACCTTGAAAATGTTTGTTTTGCCTGTTAGCAGATTGAATCGAGCATAGTCACAAATCCTAGTTTTCGAGGATGTCTCATATTCTTTACTCTGATAAGTACTTCGATGATACTTATGAATATAGGTACATGCAGATCAGTCCAAGATACCTGAGTTTCTTAAATATGAAATGAGATTTGATTTTTCTATTTCTTTCTGATTAACTTAAATTTGAGGATTTTTTATATTAATTTTTATTGTTCAGACACGTGTCTCTGCCTCGTGAAGTGGCCAAGCTGCTTCCCCGGAATCGACTTCTCTCCGAAGTTAGTGATTACTTTTTTCCTTCAATTTTCTGCATTGTGTGTAAAGTTTATCCAATGAAAAGTTTAGGTGATGTGATTTTCATATGCAAATCTAATTACTTAGGATATGTTTGATTAGACATTTAAAACTTTTTTTTTTCAATTCATTGAGTGTAAATCATAAGTAAACATTAATCGAATCAAAAGTAAAAAAAAAGTGTTGCTTTTTTAAAGACGGTTTAGAAAGTTAATTTTAATTTAACTTAATTTTCTAATTATAATCTAAACACATATTTAAGGTTGTTATTATATTTTATTTTGTATTGTATTTGAGACTATTTTGGTATTGTGTTTTGGTTTTATGTTATAGATCGAGTGGCGAGCAATTGGGGTTAAGCAGAGCCGTGGTTGGGTTCATTATGCAATTCATCGTCCCGAGCCACAAATTATGCTTTTCAGGAGGCCATTGAATTATCAGCAGCAGCAGGAAAACCAGGCCCAGGCCCAAGCCCAAGATAGTTGAAAATAGTTTCAAATTTTTAATTTTAACTTTTTTTTTTCCTACGGCAAATCGACAAAGGCATATTTCTATATCCTAGAATAAACTTTTATTTTTGTTCTGAAAAACATATTTGTGTATCAATATTATTATCTTAGACATAAATCTCAACGATTTAATCCTTATAAATTTAATTTTTCTATTCCTCCTTTTACTTGAGTATAACATGTTAATTTGTATGGTCAGAATAATGATATCACATTTAGTTAATTCTGTCAAAATGATCTTATATGACCAACATTTATTTTAAAGATATGAAGATATTCTAAAATGAAATATTGTATTAATACACGAACTTCAAGTGATACAGAATTTTGAATAAACTAAAATAATATCTTCTTCTTCTTTTTTTCTTTTTCTTTTTTCAAATTGATTGAGTTAAATGTCGCATCTTTTAATGTTATAATAAAACTTTTAAAGTTAATATAAAACAAAAATAAGTAAAAAAAGAAAATATTATAATTTCAAAATTTTAAAAATTGATTTAATAATTAAATTTAATTAAAATAATATTTAACGAGCAAAAGTCACACTTTACAAGTTTATATTATTTTTTGATTGTCAATTTTGTCTTTTAAAATATTATATGAATCATGTTCACTGATAATTTTTTAAAATTATAAATTGTCATATATGATAAAATTGATGACTTGTAATTATGGTTAGAATTTAAATTTTTTGTGTAAAAAATTATATAATTAATTAATAAAAATCATCATTAATATAATTGATAAAACAATTATTCTAAAAGTTAACCGTTTATCATATGTTGGCGTGTGATATGATAATGATTTATAACTTTTTTTTATTTCATTTTATTTCTGCAATGATTATATTTCAACTCATTAGATTGACATTAATTTCACTTGTAATGGTATAATGATTATCACTTTTAAAATCTATTTAGCTACAAATTAAAAGTTCTACTGAAAATAATATTTATTTAAAAAAAAACTTTTAAAAAAGCTTATAACTTGTATTTAAACATAGTCTTATACACACTATTTTAAGTGACATTTGGATTAGTAATGAGTTGATAATGAAAATTTTGAAACTGTGCAAAAGATAAATTCTAATTAACTTTATATTTAAGTAACTAACTTACTAAAGTGCTATTTTTTCCAACGACCAAAATAAAGTTTTTCTCTTTAACTTTCTGAATGAGGATTGGAGGGAAACCAAACAACTGAAAATATATATATATAGTGGAGTCTTACAAAGATGAACAGTCTATAGACCCCACCAACCAAAGACATTATTTTTCTCAGATAACAAAGCCCTCGTCTATGACCAAAGAAAAGTCCAAAGCAAAACAAAGTACTAGGAACACAAACAAAAGAGTGCATGGATGTTCGCAAAATCAAAAATAAAGTGTTCACAAATATATTTGAGTATTTCTAGCGCCTAACCAAAAATTTGTATAAAAGACATAGAATCATTGATATTGATGCAATTTTATGTAAACTACTTGGGAGACGTATAAGTAAATATGTATGAGCATGTATGTGTTTGTCTTTATTTTTAACCAGAACATTCTTAATTCATTTATTAAATGCTCCCATTATTGAGAGACAAATGTTTGATACTTTGATATCATAAGATTTTGAGATATACAATTTGATTATTGATGCAAGAGGGGGATCCACCTATCTTGCAAGGAAAGTACATTCATCATGAGTTAGTGGAGAAAGTTGGGCATCTCTGGACACGAGCTAAGGGCACTTTATTGAAACAACCATTACCAAAGATATTCCTTCAACAGAGTGTCAATGACTTGAAGCATAAAAGTCAATTATTATTTTCTATTTGCATCAAGAAGAAAATTAAATTAGTCATTAAATTTTATCTTAAATATTTGAGATTAAAATATTGAATCAGTAAAAAATACTGAAATTACATAATATTTAAATAACAATGATTTTAAATAATTTTATATATAATGGTTTAGATTAAAAAAATGTCATATTTGTTTGTAAAAATGTTAAAAATCAACAAAAAAAATTATAAAATATAGTTTAGATGAAAGGAAATAAATAAAACCATAAAAGACAGAAATGAAGAGTTTATTGTATTTATCTTTCTGAATAAATAAAACAATAATAGAAAAGAAAGAAGAATTTATTATATTTATCTTTCTAAAACAAAGTAACCTATTTATAAATATAAACTTCATTCGATAGTTATAATCGTAATAGACTGTCATCATTTATTATTCATAAAAAAAAAAATCAACGATTATAAATTTCTTATTAAAAAAAATGTAGATCGGAACATGAAGAAAATTTGGGTATAATTCCTTGTTTAGTTGTTAGTACAGTTTTTTAAATACACTATGTTAATAGAAAAAATATTATTTTATGTACGTTCAAAGAAAATTTGTTATTATTTTTAATAATAAATACTTATCAATATCATAATTACATAAAAATAAATAAAGTTATGTAAATACGTATTACATTTAACTCTTATTTATAAATATGAATGACTATCTTGCATAATATATTTTTAGGAATTTTTATAACGAGAGATTTTAAGAATTTTTTAACTTCATATTTAATTTAATTTTTATTTATTGAAATTATTTATGAAATAAATTTTAATATTTAAAAAATAAATTATCAATAAATAAAAATAATATTATGTTACTGTAACGATCTGATAAGTCATAACACTTAGTATAATATAACATTACGCAACGAAAAACATATAAGCTAATCAATTATTCTAGGCTTCTAATACAACAGTACATGGTCATTCATGTAACAAATAAATTTAGTATAAAAAACCTAAAATAGTTACTGCTTACATATAAATCGTGTACATATATACCATCAACATCATTGTACAAAATACTAAAAGCATAAAATCCTATCGTCAATCAAGCGACTCTATTCAACACAATAATGTATCAGAGTAACATTATCAAAACTAGGTCATCTTTAGTATAACCATCTACCAAGCATAGCCCTTTGACCTAATCTTACCATGTTTGTATATTAAGTATAATCTTTGTAGTCTAACAACACAAAAAAAATAATGTAAGCTTGTGAAAGAAAACAACATAATCAATAAAATAAGGAATAACAACTTCAACCAATATAATCAACTTAAAATCACATATTCAACATCAACAAAAATTTATAACTTCAATTCAACTCACAACATTAATTACAACTTTCGACATCAAATACCACTTACAACATGAACAACATCAAGTTATGAATTCACAACTTATAAAACATAAAACAATATCAACTTTTCCACATATGCTACATTCTCAACTTGTTCAACTTACAACATAGTTAAACAACTCATCAACATGTTAATATAGCACATGAACAACACAAATATATCAACACATCATATGTACAACATAAAAACTATATGCGTCATCACACATTCAACTAAAAGATCTCTAACAACACCGGTAAGCAATTTAAGCAGCTTAACCTTACTGAACCAACAATTCAATCTTTACAATCCAACTAGATCAACAACCAATTTGGATAAAAATCCACAACAACATGGTTTATTGGATGTCATCACTTAAACTATGAAATCTAACATTTCTGTTAAGGTAAAACAACTTAGGTGTGAGTCTACCACGACATTAGCCAATATAACTAAGCAACATATGAGATTAGTTCATCAATTACTTCCAAATATTATGTCCTTTCAATACTAAAATTAGGGATTTTGGCCCCTGACCTTGTACGTTGCTCTAATTTAGTCATTTTATACACACATGTCTTGATCTTGCTCACGTACAAATCAACATTGGTCACTTTATAATTGGTATAACTTGACCTAACTCTTATACTGGGGTCAATTGTAGACAATATGACTCAACTTTATCCCATCACCACATCAATTAAGGTCCCAAAGGAGACTCAACTATTCACCTCAAAAGTCAACTTCTTAATAAGGGATTTACAATTGAGTTTGTAGAGCACCACAACACAATAACTTCACAACGAGATATTCAACTTTTTAAAACAACCTCTACTCTAGTTCTTAGTTAATCAACTCAACACAACTTAATGTCTACAATATTCTTAACACAACCACCTCAATATTTCAACATACAACTCAATTTACAACTTTTCAACAGTTTAGTCAACTTATAGTTATAAATAAATTTCAACTTTAACAACTTAAAACATCATACAAACTTAAGAAACTTACATAAATAAACAACTCACAACAATATGTAACTTGCAACAGTAGGCAACTTACAACAATATGCAACTTACAATCTAAACAACTCAATACAACATATAACTTTCAACTTGATAAATTGAATCATTATCATACATCATCATATATCAAATATATAATGAACTACATTCAATATTCATCATACATTATGTAAACAACCAACTCAATAAGAAAAGTTAAGAAAATTATAATTTGGAAAGGGAAATAGGTGCTTCAAGTGCCTCAGAGCTTGCTTAGAGCGAAAAAAATTTGCTCGGAGCTCCCACAAGCTAGCTCAAAGCACTTACCAACTAGCTCAAAGCACTTAATAGCTAGCTCAGAGTTACCAATAGTTAGCTTAAAACTATCAACAGATAGCTTAAAGCTACCATCAACTCGCTTAAAATGATCAACTACTAGCTCAAAGCTACCAATAACTCGCTCAGAATGACCAACAACTCACTCGGAGCGACCAAATTTTGCTTTAAACGATCCAAGTTAGAGGTCTCCTTTAAATGGTCGCACTTGCTCACTTTGAGTGAGTGTGTTCTTGCTTTGAATGAGACTACCCAAAAACATGCATACACCAAGAACAACAACAACAAGTCAAGCACTCAACAACTCCAAATTTTCTCATCCCACACTAGAATTTCATGCATGCAACTTTGAAATGAACATTTACAATCATCATATAGCTCAACATTTAAAGAAAATAAAACATGCAACAAGACGCACTTACAATATCATCAATTCCCTGATTCCTTACT